AGCTACTTGGGAGGAAGGGCCAGACGGCCAGAGTAAAGGTCAGGAGAAAAGCAACACAGAACAAGGCAGCTGTTTTGAAGAAAGGGTGGAGGGAGCATCCCCGTGGGTTCGAGACCACCTCGCCAGACCACGGGCAGCAGGTCAGGGTGGCGGGGAGGACCTGCCCAAAGCGTGCTGCCTGGAGTGGCCTCACCTCCACAGCCTCCTTCTCTGTGGGGTCTGCGTGAAGAGCGGGGGACACCACATTTCTCAGCAGTGTTTCGGAGGCATGCACAGGACAGACCAGAAGTAAGGAAACCGCCCTACCTCCTGAGTTAACAGAGGGGGATGTTTAGTTCTCCCATTTGAAATGAAACGAAGGCTTTATTAAAACACGTACTACTTCCCACTGCAGGATTTAATTTTAGGTCATTTACATCTTTCAGCAGAAAAGTATCTTGAAGTGGTAACAGTGGGGAACATTCATGAAGACTCCAGCAGTAACTTGTTCCAGTCTAAAATTCCAAAATGGTGACAACCGTGTGACCATTCCCACAAAGTTAATCCCCTAGTACATTCAGTCATGGGACAGCGAACCACATTAACACAAAATATTGTAAATGACTGACACTTGATCAAAAAGAGCCTGAAGGATTTGCTATTGTACCATATTCACTTAACAATTATTTACTGAGTGAATCCTTTACGCCAGGTCCTAGGGACACAAGAGCCTTTACGGGTTTACATTATAATGAGGAGAAGCCAATGAAAATGTGAACAAATAAAAAAGGCAGAATTCAGTGTGATAAATGCTACTAAGGGACCGAGACAGGATGCTGTACCCGAGCTTTGGGACTGGGGGACGATGACTCTCAGCAAGGTGATCAGTAAGGCTTCCCAGACACGTGCCTATGTCTCCCTACAACGTGATGCCCAGACAAAATGGCCCAAGGTGGGGGCAGCGGGGGCAGTGAATGCAAAGGGCCTGGGAGGGAAATAAGCTTGGCCAGTTTACCAAATAGTTAGGAGACCAGCCTGGCCACAGTGCAGAAAACCACAAGCTCAGACAGGGCAGGGAGATCGCCAGATGAAGAGGAGGGTGTTGTCGAGCACAGCAGGAAGTCTGGGTGTTCTTGCAGCTGCAAAGGGAGCCACCAGAGAAACTGAGGCAGGGAGCAGACAAAATCTAATTTTAACAGGTCATTAAAGACTGAAAATGAAAAGTGGAAGAGCAGTGTGGCTAGATTAGGGGGGGATGGAAGAGGTGATTAATGAAAACCAGACTTAAGGTTTATTTCAGAGGTAAAATCAAAATGGTGTACTGAGGGACTGCAGATGGCAAAGATCTACTGAAGACTGTGCACTGGAGAGATTTCTCGCAGGTCTGAGGACCAGAAGGCCCTGGGCTTCGATGAGTACATCTGTCTTCTGTTTTATTACTTTTTAGACCTTGAGACAGTGTGAATTGATGCCCATGTTTTCCTCGGCTTGAGTTACAAGGAAGCTCAAAGCATAATTCGAAGACCAACTCTGCGACTGTACTCTGGTGTACTAACCTCACCCTTAGGGTTTTGTAACTTTCTGTCCTAATTTCCACATCCATTTATTTTTATTCTGGGAGATGTGCATATTAGTTTGGCAAGTTACTATATGTGATTTAATGAGAAAAAGTAGTAAAAAACATAAAAGTATTTTCACCATAGCTTGTATTAAAGGTGCCATCATGGGCTGCAATAAAAACGCAGTAAACGTGACAGAATCAAAGCTCTATGGAAGAAATGCAGTGGCAGAATGGATGGGAGAAAGCCCGACTCTGGATGAAATCCAAGGGGAGGATCACAGACAGGGGACAGGCACGGACTGTGGAACCAGGGTCTACAAATCCTGGACAAGTCATCACCTCCCTCACTTGTAAAATGGTGAGTTAACACACCAGTGCCCCCCTCACAGGGTTGATATGAGGCGTAATTAATAGTTAATATCTGTAGTTAATATTAGTTACTAGTTAATATCTGTAAATGCTTAGAAAATACTAGTTAATATCTGTAAATGCTTAGAAAAGCAATCAATAGTAGATACAGTAGAAGTGTTAAAATAAGCTTTGGTGTGAAACACAAAGAGAAGGAGGATGTAAACAGGTGAAGGGCTGAGACAGGTTACAGAACTGTGGGCAGAGGAACAATGAGAACAAAGGTATTAGAAGGACACGAGCACCAACTTCATGAAACAAGCAGTTGCCAGCCAGGGGTGGAACACACAGGAAATATGGCAAAGTAATCAATAAAGACTAAACAGAGTGAGGCCTTAAGAAAGAATACAGGAGGGCTCTGAGTACATCTTCTATGAAGAGGAATATTACGCTGTAAAAAAGCAGAGTATCTGGAAGATCTTGTACTGAGGAAGCCCATAATCAAATGGAGCAAAGAAGGCAGGGTGTGTGTAAAGTGCTCTGCCCAGTGCCGAGCGCTAACCAGCCACACTCCACCACAAAGACAATATTCACTGTCAAGACAATGGAAACGCTTTCAATGGCAAGCAATGTATATGCGTCATCAAGAGGAGTAATTTTTCATCTGGGCAGACAGAGGTGTTTCTCCAGATATTATAATCTAAAAACCAAAAAGCTTCTGCCTTCCTCACCTGTTCATAACATTTTCAACTTAATTTAAAACCTGACAGCAAGGGGCGCCTGGGTGGCTCAGTCGGTGAAGCGTCTGCCTTCGCTCAGGTCATGATCCCAGGGTTCTGGGATCGAGCCCCGCATCAGGCTCCCTGCTCCATGGGGAGCCTGCTTCTCCCTCTGCCTGCAGCTCCCCTGCTTGTGTTCCCTCTCGTTCTCTCTCTGACAAACAAAAAAATAAAATCTTAAAACAAACAAACACACAAAAAAAACTGACAGGGAAATCAGAAATTATCTTTAATCAAAATGACAGATCTGGTTTAAGGAACACAGCATCTCCTAAAAAGTGCCCTCAACAGTGGCACCGAGTGTGCTCTCTTCTCTACGCCCTCTGTCCAGGAGATTCATTCTGTGAATGTTGCCTTCTTTAGAAAAAGGGCCTTTGCAGTTGTGATTATCGGATGCATCTTGAGATGGGAGAATACTCTGAATCATCCAGGTGGGTCCTAAATGCTATCATGTGGAAGAGGGAAGCAAATGGAGAAGGAAGACAGACATGACAGAAATCGACATGCAGACAGAGAGACCAGAGTGATGTGGCCACAAGTCAAGGCTTGTTGGCAGCACCCGAAGCTGCAAGGGGCAAAGAAAGGACTCTCTTCTAGAGGGGGGAGCACCACCAACACCTTGACTGTGGTCTGGCCAATACTGATTTTGGACATCTAGCCCCCAGAAGTGATAAATCTCTATTGTTTAAAGCTGCCAACTTTGTGGGAATTCATCCCAGCAGCCACAGGAAACTAATGAAGCAAGTACAGTTGACGGCCCTGGAACAACACAGGTTTAAACTGCACGAGTCCATTTTCACACAGGTTTTTTTCAATAAATGCAGTAGTGTAAATGCATCTTCTCCTCCTCATGAGTTCCTTAGTAACATTTTCTTTTATCAAACTTATCTTATTCTAATAATACAACATTTTGTATTGTATTTAACACATATAACATACAAAATGTGTATTCATTGACTACGTTATCAGTAAGGCTTCCAGTCAACAGTGGGCTATTAGTTAAGTTTTTGGGGAGTCAGACGTTATAGACAGATTTTTGACTATGCAAGGGGTCAGTACCCCTACCCCCCACAATGATCAAGTTGCAACTGTAATTTCTTATGATTTAAAGTAAATTTAATGGTAGAAGAAATGAAAATGAAAGGGATTTACCATTTACTGAACACCTAAATAAATTATTTCATTAAACCATCAACAGCGATCCCATTATTATTAGCCTTTTTTATAGAGAAAATCCCCTTGGTACAGATCTGTTTATTTTACATTGCAATAACACCTATTTGTAATTGCTCTCTTTGACCATACACTGATCAGCAACACTCAATAAGAAAACTGACTTTTGGGGGGTGCCTGGGTGGCTCAGTTGGTTAAGCAACTGCCTTCGGCTCAGGTCATGATCCTGGAGTCCCAGGATCGAGTCCCACATCAGGCTCCTTGCTCAGCAGGGAGTCTGCTTCTCCCTCTGACCCTCTTCCCTCTCGTGCTCTCTCTCTCTCATTCTCTCCCTCTCAAATAAATAAAATCTTAAAAAGAAAAGAAAAGAAAAGAAAACTGACTTTTTATTCCACCCAAATGAACTTGGAGATATAAAAGAATGCTATTTTAAATTATTTCATGCAAAATTCTATCTGAAAAAATATATACAGTCACCAGTGAAAAATCTGTGTTACTTCTTTCTACAGAGTTCTTTTAGATGCAAAGATTAAAAAAATTAAAAATTTTCAAATAAATCTGAGATAGTCATATCTCAATATATGGGTTTGCTTAAACAGTCTTATGAATTCATTAAAACATTTTTCATATTAAACGTAGTCATCTATCCAAAGACAGAAAAAAAATTCTGTGTACCTGGACCTGCTGAGGAGTTTTCAGATACCACAGAGCATTCTCAATGAATAAAATGACAACAGGCTTTTAGATACTCACTTGGTGCCTGACATTGTGCTCAACACTGGAGATGTGGCAAAGAGCTGGCCTAATCCTACACTCAATGGGGAAGGCACATGCTTCCAAGACCTCAATATCCATATCAATGCTATTACTTTAAAACAAGTTTCATTTTAAAAAATTAAAAAATTAATGTTAGAGAGATAAACTTGTCTACAGTCATCAGCCAGTTAAGTGGTACAGGTTCTATTTAAACCCAAGAAGATCTCAGTCCAAGCAAAGTGAATCCCCTTAATTATGACATCATAATGTCTGAATATATTCTTGCAGGCTTTGTACTGATACACTGATAGAGCTGCTTGACTATTAAGAAAGCAGACATTAAAACTGTTGCCATGGTACCCTATTCTAACAACAAAAAAGTTAAGTCAATTAATTATACCTACCTGGTTATTGCTGGGGTTGGTACACCTCTTGTACGCAAGGTGGGTTTCCCTCGAACAACTGGTACATCTGCATTTTCTGAACCACCGTTCAAATATGTTAGTTCTTGGAGCTGTGCTTGCCTGATTTCATCATTATAGTCCTACATAGAAGACAGAAGACAGCATAATTCACCTCTTGTGAAAAATACAAAAGTATTTAGGACAAGAATAAAACAAGTTTTAAAAGAAAAAAAGGGCATGGAAAATAGTTGAATTCATAAAATAAGATTTGAGTTTGTTGAAATGAAAATGCATCAATAAGTTGTTGTAAAAAGGAAAAAAACAAAACAAAACAGGATTTTTCCCAAACTAAAATTTTCTACAATCAGCCATTACTCCTTCGGCTGGGCCTACTTTCCAAGTAAGATATTTACAATAAAATTAAAATACGATATACAGACACATGGCATTGTTATTTACAACTCAATTCAATGAGTAGTTACTGAGATCTGTGAAGGGCCACTAACAGAGCTCGAGGAGCAAGCCCGGGTCCCTGCAGCTGAAGAGCAAACAACCTGACAAAGCAGGAAGACATACATACCACAGCATAGCTTTACCGAAATTAAGAACCACATGTACACATTCTTCTTGTATATTTCCATTTGGATATTATACTAGAAAAATGCACCATTTCCAAAAATGCACCATTCCAAAACATCTTATTCTTGGAAACTTGCTCTTTGTTATCTTACATTATTGTTTAAATATTGAACTGAGAAACCCTGATAGTCCTCCTTGATTCCTCCTTTCCTGAATATCTCTAACCCCATTCAAGAGTCATCAAGACAGACATATAATAAGTAAATAAAAGTGTGATCTGTTTCACAATAAAAGGAAAATTCAGGTCTAAATGGTCAAAAAGGAAAGCCCTCTAACTCAGCTGTGGGCAATAAGAGCAGGTTTCTCTATAAGAAGTGTCATCTAAGGGTGAGTATGAACTAAATACCAGGAAAGGGGTAATAAAGTACTCTAGTTGGAAGTAAAAGCACAGTTTAAGACCTAAAGAAATGGTGTCTAGGGAACAGGAAGAAGTGTTCTATGGCTGAATTTTAAGAATGACTTGGGGTGTGTATGTGTGTGGGGGGGTGTGGTCTCAAAGTGGAGAGAAAAGCAGAAACCAAATTAAACAAAGCCTTAAGTCATTTTAAATATAACTTTAAAGGTTTAAAATTAAAGGTACTAAAAAGCACTTAATAGTTTTAAGGAGGAGAGTTGCATATCTAAGTTTATGTTTTAGAAATATTATGAACAATTGTATGCCATCAAATTAGGTAGCTAAGATGACAGAAAGACATGGATGAATTCCTACAAAGACACAAACTACCAAAACTGACTTAAGAAGAAACAGAAAATTTGACAGATAAGCCAAGAGACTAAATTGATACTCAATAAATGTCCTGCAAAGAAAATCCTAGGCCCATAAGACTTTAATGGTGAATTCTACAAATAATTAATTAAGAATTAATGCTAATCCTTCACAAACTTCCAGAAAAATGAAAGAGGAAGGAGTACTTCCTCACTGTTTCTATAAAGCCAGTACTGTCTGGGTACCACAACAGACAAAGACATTACAAGAAAAGAAACCTATAGACGAATATCTTTATGAATTTAAGATACAAAGGCTCTCAAAGAAAATTAGGAAGCCAAATCCAACAGCATAAACAAAATAAAAGGGGGAAACATACACAAGAGTCAAGTAAAACTTACACCAGAATTGTTAGGTTGGTTTAATATAAAAAAAACAATTAATGTAATACCATAATAATAAAGAACAAAAAAATGGTCATTTTAATACAGAAAAAACAAACCATTTGAGAGAAGAATCCAGTACTTTAATGATGGAAACACTCAATAAACTAGGAAAACCCACAGTCAACATATTTAATAGTAAAAAAGTACAAGAATCATCCTAAGATAAGGAACAAGACAAGGATGTCTACTCTCACCCCTTCTATCTAACATCATACTTGTGGTTCTAGTCAGGACAATAATGTAAGAAAAAGAAAGAAATCATGTTCAGATTGGAAGGGAAGAACTAAAACAACCTTTATTCATAGATGACATAATCCTGTATATAGAAAATCACAAAGAATCCACAAAAACATTAAATAATCAGATTACACAGGGTAGCAGGATATAATGAGATCAATATACCAAAATCAATTTTATTTCTTTACAATAATAATGAAGAATACAAAAATAAAATTAAGAAAATAACCCCACTACAGCAGTATCATAAAGAACAGCATACTTAGGAATAAATTAACAAAATAAAAGCAAGATTTGTACACTGAAAACTACAAAATACTGTTGGAAGAAATTTTTTTAAAACCTAAGTAAATGGAAAGATACCCAATATTCATGGATAGGAGGACCTAATACTGTTATGATGACAATATCCCTGCCCTGCTCTCCCACCTCCCAGATTGATCTACAGAGTCAAGGAAATCCCTATTAAAATCCCAGCTGGCTTCTTTGCTAAAATTTATATGAAAAGCCAAGGGACCTCGTATATCCAGAACAATTTTAAGAAAAAAAACAAAGTGGGAAGACTAATATATTCCCACTTCAAAACTTACTACAAAGCCATAGTAACAAAGACTGTGTAGTACTGGCCTAAAGGGTAGACATAAAGATCAATGAAATAGAATTGGGAGCCCAGACATAAGTTACTATAGATTGATATTCAAACAGTCTCTTTAACAAGTGGTACTATAATAACAAGGAGAACACTGAAGATAATGGAAGCCTTACACCTTGCTGGAGGCAATGAAAACTGGTCCAGCCACTTGGGAAAACCACTTAACACTGCCTCAAAAATGTTAAGCACAGCGCTATGTGACCTAATAATTCCATTCCTAGGCCATACCCAAGAAAGTGAGAACATCCATCCACCCAAAAAACTGTACATGAATGTGCACAGCAGCATTCTTGATAATAGCCAAAAAAATAATAGAATTATTAAAACAATAGAAATAACCCCAACCAAAGTCCTAGACTAATAAAAAATGGACAAATAAAACATGGCATACCCATACAAATATTATCCAGCAATAAAAAGCAGCTTTAATGAACCTTGAAAACAGTATGCTAAGTGAAAGAAGGTAGGACAAAAGACTACACATATGGTTCCGTTTTACACAAAATGTCAAAAACAGGCAAATCCATAGACACAAATTACGGGTGGCATGAGACAGAGAAGTGGGACAGTAGGGGGCTGGAATGGGGAGTGCTTGCCCAAAGGTATGGGGCTGCTCTGAGGGACGATGAAGATCTAAAACAGACTGTGGTTATGGCTGCATAACTGTGAATGTACAATAATCCAGTGAACCGTATGTCTTAAATGGGTGAATTGTAGGGTATGTGAGTTATATCTCCATAAAGGCTGTGTAAAAAGCAAAAAAGCAAATTAGTGGTTGACTAGGGAGGAAGAAGAATGGGAAGTCACTGTTCACTACGAGGTTTACTTGGGGGTAATAAAAATGGTCTTAGGTTATTATGACAGCTGTGGAACTCTATGAATACACGAAAGTCACTGAATTGTATACTTTAAAGGACTGAATTTTATGCTATGTGATTTATATTTCCATAAAGATATTAAATGGAAAAAAGCACACTAGAGGCAGAAATTCCAGATGGAAACTCATAATTCTAGTACGTGGTAAAGACAACCTGGAGTAGGGAAGTGGCAGGAAGGATGAGGAAAGATAGATTTGGTGTTATTTATGTTTAATTTTATTATAAATGGTAATATCCTAGAGGGGGGAGGTATATCAGCAAAGTCAAGAATGTCAGTGGGCATCTGGAAAATGAGAAGGATAAATAACAGTGGTACCATGTTGTAATCAGTTTGGTACAGGCTGTATATGCAGTGGTCTATGACATATTAATACTGAGATGTCCCATAGCAATCAGACACAAAAACTGGAAATTTAGAAGTTAAAGATATAGATACAGAAGTGGACAAGGAAGGGTTACTCAGGCCCTACACAGCACAGAACAGGTCCCGTCATCAAGGCGGGCGTGTGGCCAGCCCCCAGAAGATAACCTCTAAGCTCACGGAGGGGGCTGCCTGCTAAGAGAGTTTCTGCATGCGTAGGCTTGAGGCCATGCCGTCCCACTGTGGGACAGATAAGTCTGCCCTAGCAATGGCATTAGTGGGGAACCTTTGTTTTGGCTCAGGAAGTGGGGTGGTGGTGCTGGACTGAGAGTAGCTGAGGTCAGGTACAGGGGTGCTGTATGCATACGTGACTGGTCCGCAATAAAAAACCGTGCACACCGTGGTGCAGGGGAGCCTTACTGGTTAGCAACCCCTCCCGTGTGTTGTCACACATCATTGCTGGAAGAAGTAAATGCGTCCTTATATAATTCTCCTGGGAAGGGAAGCCCAGACTTTTCCTGGTCTTTGCCTTGTGCTCCTTTTCTTGCCGATTTTGATCTGTATTCTTTTGTTGAAATGATCCATAATCAGTGTTTAACCGATTTTCTGAGTCCTGTGGGTCCTTCTAGAGAATTATTGAGCTTGAAGGTGGTTGTGGGGACCTCTAGCAAGAACTCATCTGCATACAAATGTCAGCAATAGGCAGAATTGCTTGGGGCACGTTCCTGGAGCAAGAGAAGGGCTCCAGACATCAACGTAGAGTAACAGAAGGAGAGCCGCGTGGGGGAGACGGAAAAGGGGAGACAAGGGCCTGAGAAGGACACGGAGGTCGTGCTAGTGTGAAAGCCACAGCAAGTCAGTGCTGCATTCACGTTCTGTCAAGCAGCCAGGTACTCATCCCATGGGATTCAACAGTAAAGCCAATACCGACTTCAGCAATGGTGATTTGGGGAAGGGTGGAGCTGGAATCCATCTCAGGGGAAGGAAGAGAGGGTGTGGGCAGGCAGGTTTTCCAGCTGCGTGGCTCTACAAAGAGAACAGGAGGGACAGCCGCTTGAGCGAGGAAGGGAGGCTCTTACGATAGAAGCAACAATTTTCTGAGTGTGAACAGAAGATTCAGGGGCAACAGTTTCCTGAATTATTTAGAGTTTAAAATATGAAATAGACTTAGTACATTTATAAAAACAAATCTGCTATCTCTTCCTTAGTTTTCAAAAGCAG